AAGAAGTTGGTGGTCTCCATGTAAGGCGGTGCCATTTTTTGTGCGAGAAGTTCGTGCTTGACAGAAACAGTCCAGATCTCGAGAACACAAGCTAAACAAGCCTGTTGTCCCACACGCATCCGTGTACGCACGTTAAATGTGGCTAATTTGAACGGACATCGAAGAGCGCTTCAATTGGTGGAGAAGGATTCGGTAAGACTTAGATGCTATTAGAGGCAGAATGCGCGAGAATAGGGGCGGAATTTCCATCTGGGGCAAAACCGGTAGTATGATCGTCTGGAGATCCTGATAACACCGGAAATGTTTGAGTAGTTGAAGTCGAGGAAATGGAGGAAAACCTGGGGAACAGGAAGATGTGCACAGTGTAGAACGTTTTTTCTGAGAGGGAAGCTGAAGGAATGAATTATTGTACAGGCTGAAATTCATTATTGTTTTGTGATGGCCCCTACCATTGCGCGTGTTTTATATTGGAAGTTATTCACGGTTTCTGTTCGTTCCAGCAGTCTCCGCGGCGTTGGGGAGAGGTAGATCATACAAGAAGAGGTTGGGCGCGCTCGGTCTTCATTCGCTAGAAAAGAGGTTGCACAGAGACCTCATCGAAGTGTTTAAGATTAGGAAAAGGTTGCTGGGGTTAGATCCGGGGTCCTTCTTCATTGAGACTTCCCACTAAGAAACGCGTGGCCATGAGCTCAAACTTATGAAACAGCGTTCTAGGCTGAATCTGCGAGCACATTTCTTTAGCAATAGGGTAGTGGATTACTGGAATAAACTACTGTTTGAATTGATCAAGCAACCAAGCGCCCAAGCATTAAAGAGCTCTGAACGCTAGATGGTTGGAGGTTTTCCTGACATAGAATGTTAGGTGCATTACTTGTTTTGTGTAATATGGAACGCTTTCACATCAAGTCTCCCGCTGAAACGGCGAGAAGTCAAGTCTTTCGTTCTCTCTGTTTGCAGATAGAAAGAGAAACCGATCAATTGCAGAGGTGGACGCACACTCGAGAGCACAGTATTGGAGGGATTCTGGACGCTTGATTGGCCCGTGGCCACCATCAGTCCTGCGCAACCTGACTTGACTGAACTACTCGAACCTGTTCTCTCTAGAACGCCGTAGGAAGAGAGGGGGACCTAACTGAAGTGTACAAAGCCACCAGGATTACGGAGCAGTTGCCCATTGGGTATTTGTTCACAACATCCTTCGAGAGCACAAGTACACACTTAAGACAAGCAGGAGCAGGCTAGCAATAAGATACCACTTTTTTGCAAACAGAGTAATCCCAGCCTGGAACATACTACCACGTCATCTAACTGAATGTCCCACTGTGAAGGCCCAGGCCTTCAAGCTTCAAACTAGGGCTGGACAAGGCATAGTATCTCTTATTCACAGTTCCTTAGCGATCAAGGTCCATTTTATTTTACCGATGAAATGCACGTTGCCGCTGGCAGATGCAAGCTGCAGTACTGTGGACGCTTTCAAAAAGGCATTAGATGAGTGTTGTATAGCGGAGGTAAGCGCTTAGTACCACCTATAATCTAACCACAATGGACGTGATACTGCACCACACTGTTCCGCTTTTCATAAAAATTGCATATCGAAGTGTTGGAAACCAAGGAAACTCGCCGAAAACACGAATTTGGACGCTCGATTGGCAAGAGTCACAAACCGTCCTGTGCGAATTGAACTCAACGTAACAGATACTGTGCCGTCTTCCTGTTCATAAAACCTTCCTGATATTAAGTCCTTTGTGGGGTCGGAAGAAGCACCACACACGCAGGCGAGCCGGTCCGCGAACGGAACCCGTGAACTGTTCGGCTTAGGATGATATCTTACTATTCTACCTCCATTTTTTAATCAAGACAAATAAACGATCTCTGATGCTGAATTCAAAATTATCGTATCATCACAGGATAGTATCTTGCGAGTGTATCTCCAATTTTCCTGCAAATGGGGCGATTGGGATTCTTTGAAGCATTTATACATCAAATATTCCCAAGTCGTTTTCCAGAAGTAATACAATATTGTATCATTGTATTACTTCTGGAAAACACTCCAGAGTGATCAAACACGTTGATGTATATACAAATAAATATACTTATACTCGGAAGTCGAGAGTTAAATCAGAAGCACCTAATTCAAGTGGTGATGACCATAGTGAAATTGCCCCACAGGGAAATCGCCATCTAGTGCTGTTACCGCAGCCCTGCAACCTCACACAGTGAAGATGAAACTCTAGTGGCTCTCCTCCGGGAGTCAGCAGAATCCCACCGGAGCATACTACTGCTGGGGGACTTTAATGCCCCGAGGCTATCTGGGAGGGCCACTGCCCCAATAGGCAGCTTCAGCGAACTCCTGGTTGGTATGGCACAAGAAAAACCCTAGTTCAGCATGTCAAGCAACAAACACGCTGGAGAAGGGCAAACCCCTCACGACCCTGGGCCTTGTGATAACCATGTTCCTGTCAGAGACTGAGAATCTAAAGATTCAGGAACCGACTGGTAAGAGCAATCCTGGATTCCTCAAGTTTCGTATGAGTCTAGGGGGCAATCTGTACCCGACAAATATCGGCGCCAATGGCATCGAATAAACCCTCAGGACCTCCAAGACACGGCTGAAAGGCTTGATTGGACATTAGAGAGAGGGAAAGTTCGACCCGGTAGCGACCAATGGGACCTCATAAAAAGTCATCTTCTGAGGCTCACCGATCAGCTGGCACCCCTCCGAAGTGTTACAAACCATGGAACGCCCCAATGGTGGCGTGCTTGTCTAGAGCCAGCGCTCATACGCAAAGGGGCAGTTTAGAGACGCTACCTGCAGAACAGAGGACAGGTCTCTGTTGCACTACAGGGCGGAACGTCAACGAGCAAGGGGCAAGAAAGCAGCCAACCACGCCTATGGGTCATAACCCCAGTGTAGACGAGGTCCAACTCACTCTCCAAGGACTAGCGGCTACGAAGGCTGCAGGCCCTGACGGAATTCACCCAGCTGTTCTGAAACCGCTGGCGGGACAGCTAGAAGCGCCCCTGAGCAACTTCTTCAACGCCTCTTTAAAGACGGGTAGGCTGCCGGAGGAGTGGCAATTGGCAAGTGTTGTCCCAATCCACAAGGGGGAGATAGGGTATCGTACTCGAATTACCGACCAGTGAGTCTGACATCAGTAGTACTAAAAGTAATGGAGTGAGTCTTACGCGACAGGATCGCCCACCATCTTGTCGTTTATGGTCTGCTCACCGCAGGCCATCACGGCTTCGTCAGGAAGCGGTCATGCCTGTTCAACCTGCTTTGGTTCTTATACGAAGAGGGGAACGGATAGAGGTTTGCTACCTCGACTTCGCCAAGGCCNCACCGACTGCTTCTAATGAAACTAAGCTGGTTTTGAATTACTCCTAGGGTGATGGCGTGGATCATGAGATGCGTGACAGGTCGGAGTTTCGAGGTTAGTGCATCATCATCATCATTGTACAGCGAAATACAGTGAAGCGGAATTCACCGATCGCTGTTAAACTCCCAATACATACAAGATTAGTGGTACCATTTATTTATTTTGATTATTATTATTTATTTTATTAAGGTGGGCAGGAATTGGACCTACCCTGAGGCACGGAGAAAGTGAACCACTATGGTCAACACAGAGTGCACAATCGAACTGTGCACACATACCGTTTCAAGAGTTCTGGTCTGATAAGAACTGACAACATGAACGCCACTGCTGTCGGTTCGTTGCCATATACTTCAGTGTCTCCAACCAACCAGTTGTGGAGTCTTTCGGGACCCAACCTGGTAGGCGCGTGATACCTGCTCTACTCAATGTCTTTTCTTCATGCCTCGTCTCCAAGTCATCTGTTGACCTCCACGTGGTTTTCTCCAGCCCGGATTAGCTACAGTGAATAAAGCACGATGCGGCAGACGATGGCTGGGCAAACGCAATGTGTCCTAGCCAGCGAAGTCTACAAATCTGAATCCGATGAGCTAGCAGGTTTATCCCTGAAAGACTCCTAAACACACGATGGCTTACCTCCACGTTACTAA